AGGTAGAGAGTGTGTGAGAGTGAGCGGTTTCGTGAGTATGTGTATTCGCGTGTATTTGAATGAGTGTTTATGCGTGAATGGGTGAATGTGTGGGTGTGTGGGTTGCCGTGGTGTGTGTGTGTGTGTGAATACGCACACACGTATACTGGTGTTAGGGCATGTGAGGTGCTTTGTGACATACTTTAACCGGAAAACATATGAACATGATTATGTATACAGTATTTTTAAATATACACTTTCAGTTCCCTCGGCGTCCCAATATAAATTACATTGTACCCTATCGGGCCTATTATAAGCTCCAAGATTTTGGCGGGCCGATGTATAGTTTAGAAGTAGGCTTTATAGTAAATACATAATAATCCTAATATGTGTGCACGAACCACACTAATAAACACTATTTATCCACTGTATACTACACATATTATCTGTTACGTGTGCACTATACACATAGACACTATATACACTATACACATAGACACTGTACATATTGTATACAACCCATAAAACAACAATCAGTAGCTTTTCTTGCTGGTATATACGACCATATACAATCAACATGCACCAATGTATATGGGTACTGGCAGCACTGCTGTGCGCGATACCTGCCTTGACAGAGATATCCCCCGAGAATACTTCTACACACACGAATAACTGGGCTGTATTGGTGTGCACATCACGGTTCTGGTTCAATTATAGACACATTGCGAACACTCTGTCCTTCTACTACATGGTAAAGAAAATGGGTATTCCGGATAGTAATATAATACTGGTAAGGAGAACGATGAATGTACCTAAACGTACATCCAAGCGGTGCTAGATATCGCATGTCGAAGTAAACCCTCAGAATTGTGAATAGCTGGATTTCATTTGAAGTTATGCTTTAGTATGGCCATTGCCTTGTATATGTGCGTGGATGAATTTGAAATCATCTGTAAATACCTATATCAATACCTAGATGCGCACGAAAGTGCGTGCAGAATACATGTACGGGTACAGTAACATACACATATATATCTGTGTATAACTATACACACACACAAACCAAAGTATACACAAACACAAACACACACTGACCAGCATATTCTTTCATATGCACATGCCCTCACGCGCCGCGCTGTTTACAACCTCTACAACCGCCACAGATGCTGCCCGACGACATCGGCTGCAATCCTCGCAACCCCTTCCCAGCCCACGTGTTCAACAACGCAGCTCACAAACTCAACGTATATGGCAGTAATGTCGAGGTGGACTATCGAGGATACGACGTAAGCGTGGAGACCTTTATCCGTCTTATGACTGACAGGCTGCCCGTGGGCACCCCGCAGTCGAGACGACTACGTACGGACAAGGATAGCAACCTGTTGGTATTCCTTACTGGTATGTTGTGTTGTCCTGAGGGTGTGCATGTATTTCCTAATATTCTGAGATTTACAAGTATGTGTTATACGTTTGTGCGTGTGCGATTGTTTGCAACAGATGTGTGCATGTGTGGTGCGTTGTGTCGGCGGGTACATCTCAATCGGACCGTTCAAGCACGGACGAGAATAGCAACCTGCTTGTGACCTTTTCTGGCGTGTTGATCTGAGTGTGTGCATGTGTTGTGCATGTGGTTTTGCGATATACATGGATGTGATAAAGTTTTGCGTGGTTATTTGCATTTTGCATACGCGTGTGTAATATTTTCGTATGTATTTGCGTGTAATGTACGCGTTCGTATGTGCGAGTGATATGCACGTACGTATGTATGGTGGTTCGATATACATGTATTCATGTGTGTGTGATCTCCGTGATTGTGATACATAATGTATGTGTTTGTGTGTATATGGTGATGTGTGCATGTCTGTTTTTCAATTCCATCTTCCTTTCTGTAGTGTGTAGATATCCGCACCACCTTGATACATTTTGTAAACACGGACCAGATATAAATAGCAAGTCAGTAGTAATCAATGCGTTGATCGTTGCTGCCGCCTAGTTAATGATCGCCAAGCTTGCGTGTATTCCTGGTCAATCGGATCTGTGTGTGTATGCTTACATATTACAGCCATACGTTTGTGCTCGAGGATATGTATGTATGTGTATATGCATGTTTGGATATATGTATGTATGTATGTATGAACGTATGTAAGTAAGTATGTATGTATGTATGTATGTATGTATTTGTATACATACATACACACATATAT